CCTGCCTTTGGCAGCACCCCGATCCTCCGGTGGCACCCGGAGCCTTCGGCATTTTGTTAGGAGTTTTAGGAAAGGGAAGAATTTAATCCATGCTGTCAAGTGGGGAGGAGCTCCAAGGCCGCCCGACGCGTTACCTCAGCGCGCCGCCATCTTCACAACATGGGGGAGGCCAGCCAGCAGCTTCATATTCCCCATGTGAAGATTAATAGAGCCTGAGAAGTTTTAGTTTACCTATTAGGATTATCCAGACAAATATTAGTATTGAGAATCAGCTATGCAAGCAGGCATTTCTACATATCCTGAGTATTTTCAGAGATTAGGTGCCCATAACATGCCAAGCAAGGCAGTCTCCCTCTGGAAAATGAAGCGTGCATCTCAAACCTACAAGGAGAAATCCATGTTTTTCTGCTAAACATTATAACATTTTTCTGTAAAACATTATTTTGTATTGCAGCTATCTGGAAAACAACCAGAGATCCATTTCTAGAGGCAGCAGAGGCCTGTTCACAATGCAGCGGCATAAAACCCACCTCTGCAATAAGGGGATGCATAATTTATACAGAGATTTGCCAGTTATCCCAGAACACAGCAAAGGCACCATCAATATTTTAAATACTGAGGACTAAATTGATTACCAAAAGCAACTTTTGCAATTTTACTTTGCCTCTCAACTAGAGGAAACAAAATTAAAAAGTCAGGGCGAGCAAAAATCTGCACAAGACCTTCTAACACGGAGCTTCTCCAAGACCAGAGGCATGAGATCTCTTATATATATTTTAAGGATTGAGCCTTAGCCAAACAACAGCAAAACACCAGCTGATTTTCCCCTAATTACTAATTTTAAAATAATTTCATAATGCCAATATGAGACTTTATATGTTTTATTCATCGTCAGTAATTTTTGTACACAAGGCAAATATTAATAGCTGAAAGGCAACATTTTTGCAGAGTTATGTACAGAGCAATGTACAGGCAAATTTAAGAGGTTTTAAACTATTAGTCAATTTAACCATTTTATAAAAAGGAAGTGATGCTTTTTTTTCTACTACCTCCTTTAGAAATAATTTATTGCCAATCTTAAACTAAAGCAAGGAGAAAAAAAAAATTTACAATAAAAAGTAGTCCCTGGAAAGTTTATAAAAAGTTAAACATATAAAATTGTAAGCCACAAACATTTATACAAAGCTAATACAAATCTTGGTTTTGTTAAAGATCTATGAGGTTGTTACAAAATATATTTTTACATAAAGGCTTCACGTAAGGTAAGCTCTCACTGCTACTGAAAGCGCAGGAAAGCGGTTTTAAATAGTCTGCAATTCAATTTATTTTCAAGTACAACGCAAAGAAATTGCAAAATGGCACTGTATTGCAATGTTGTGTAATTAAAAAAACATACAAACTATGTAAATGGTACCATCAAATAGGCAAGACCTGTAAAGCTGACTTGTGAACGATTCAGTACAGAACATTTCTGATCATTCTGAAACAGGAAATGGTATCGCTGGAAAACAAATCTTCTGCAATCACCCTTGAAGAGAAATGTCTCAAGAAGTCTGCAGTCAGCAAAGGGCATGTTAAACATGCGCGATTCTCAGTCTTTAAGCACTGAATTACTCCTAAACATGAGACCATACCCTCCCCTAGAACCGTGTTCCTGTTTTTAAATTAAAAATAAAAAAAGACGAAACTCGGACAAAATTCGGCACAATGGGGAGCGCTGATCAGATGTGGTCTGAGCAGGCGACCTGACACTGATCCAACTCCCACCGAGCGCCCCGGAGCTTGGGACAGCCACCTCGCCTGAGCAAACCTAGCCTAATTCTGAGGGGCAAAACACAAAGCCACCACTAGACAGGTGAGTCTAAATACACTGCCTTTAACATCCAGGAACCCACTGGATTTTTTTCTTTTTAAAGAGCAGGGAGTCTAAAAGAACACTTAAATTTAACACAAATTGATGGCTTAAGCTTCCATATACAACAGTTTAAAAAGAAGGAATTTTTATAGCCCTGGTGATTAGGCACAGTTTTCTGGTGTCAAACTGCTAGGTTTAACACACTGAACATCTGCTAAAACATCAGTTTCACCTTCAGTGCATGGAGGCTGGACAAGGCAGGAGTAAATCTCATTATATCACCCATTAGAGACCTTTTTAACCAGCTTCTCTGTCCTGAACAGAACTAAAAGGCTTGGGATCCTTCCTGCTCTTCACAAGAAACCCTGACCCAGGACCTCAGAGGGGTTTAAACCACAAAGTCTCGCTCTTATCAGCCAGGTGTGACTCACTTGTTTGCTTCAAGATACACATCAGTCTGCTCAACAATATCAATGGCTTCATCTCTTGTACCAAAGCGATATTCTGCCATAAAGAAAAAATATTTAGAAATAAATATAGAAAGAAGTCCCTTTGCAGGGAGCTGACACGCAGCACGCTTAGAGGTGGGGAGCCCAAGGCCATGTCTGCTCAGCCAGGACGTCCATGTGGAAGAGCCATGTGGGCAGCTACATCAGCTCTCCCAGCCCTTTAGAGAGGTGGGAGAGGGCAACAGGACTCAGGGATTTCATTAAATTCATTAACTCCTGCCTGAGATTCAAATAGTGCTTATGTACCAGGACTTGCTTGCTCAGAACTGACCCATATTTGTCTCAGGGATGCCCAGTGCCTGGGAAATACTGACAATGTCCTTGAACTGGCATCAGTTTCAAGATCTTGAAGCAAATTAACAGGTCCCTGGCTTTCAAAAAATAGCATTTTTACATAAATGAATTTGTTTTGATAAGCATATTCCTGGTAATCTTCATATCACCCAATATCCAGTCTCAAGTCTCCTCTGTAATCATCTAGTCTGCCATCCTGTCAAGCACCTACCACAGACCCTCTTCAAATTAACTTATTTTAAAGCAAGCGGACAGTCTCCTTTGTTGCTAACAGTGCTTGAACAAATTTCTTGCAGAGAAAAAGGGAGGGGGGCGGACAGAAAAAAAAAAAAAAGCCTATTCCCCCTGTCATGGATTTGTTCCTACAGTTAATTGCCACCTCTAGAAGGGTGTGGATTTGTTCAGCTGCCAGACTGGACTTTGTCCTGCACTGCCAAGGCTGTTACACTAAGGTGTGTTGCTGCTGACCTAACATTTATAGCTCAACCAACCTGTAATCCCTCTTCTAGGAGGAGGAAAACTTCCTGACCCTGCCGCAGGCATGCTGGCCAGTCTTTTACATACCCTCATTAATCTCTTGTGTTATCTCTAGTTAGACATTCTTCTTCAGTTGCTCATATAGGAGCTAAAGACATCAAACCAGGAGTAATCATCTCCATGCCTAATAAGGAGGCAAAATCTACACAAAATATCCCCATTCAAAGACCATATTAACCCTCTTGATATGCTTGCTGCACCCGGGCTTTTAGAAGATCATGCACTGTGACTTCTCCCAAGCTCTTTTTGTAATTCTTCCAGAAATAGGGCCTCATCACAAAATCAGACTAATATTTAAAACCCATGATTGCGCACTGGACAATATTGAAAAATAAAGGTATTTCAAAGCACTTAGCTGAAGTACACATCCACTATTCCCCTTCTAATGGAAGGGGAACGAGGTACAGAAATGCTATTACACCTTACAGTCACAATAAGTAGAAGGCGAAGTTCAGAAGACAGGGAGCTTTCCCATGTCCTAGCAACATTATCACACATGCAGGGATTCTGCTCAAAGCAGCTGGAGTATTAATCTCATACCTCTTGCCACATATGTGTTATGTTGTATAAAAAAATATGGCCAGTATCATCATCCACAGGAATTAGCTGTTTCTCTGGAGCAAAGTGGCAAGCAGAATAGCCTAAATGGAACTTCAGACTGGAGGAAACCTGGTAGTGGCACTGCTTTCTCCAATGCAACTTGGCAAGCTTGCTTTTATTTAGCAGAATTCTGTGTGGTGTATGAAGATAGCTGTTCAAAGAGTATTTTTAGTTATAGTCACATTAAAGTCCCCCTGCCTCTAAAAAGAAGAAAATATATGTATATGTATAGAGAGAAAGAACTGCAAAGGAGCTTTTGGTAACATATTATTAGTCATGAGCAGTACTCTATGCTGTGCAATGTATTTGGCTCAAGTACACTTAGGATTGCTAGACCCAATTGGAAAGTCTCGGAGAGAATCTCGTCACCTGAAGCATATTCTGCTGTGCCAGGCTGCTCTTTTTTCAAAAACATTCATCTGAGTGGTGTCAGCTACACAATGCCTCTGCTGGGAGCACCCACGCACATAAGGCCACTGAAAATAGGGTGGGAGGACAGAATACAGAGAGGCACTTGGGTTTTCGAGCACTTCTATCCATCACCAAACGCTCCCTGGAGGAACAGGCACGCTGTATTAAATTTTGAAGAAAGTTTTTTAAAAAAAAAAAAAAACCCACAGTGATATATTAAAGCCCTTCAGGATCAGGTAAGGTACCTATACGTAACACCTGGTTAGTGGAAATAAATACGAGTTTAGCTTGTTCCCCCTTCCCACATCAGAATCCAAGAGAACCGTATCATAGTGCGCGGTGCTTTGTCACGGCTCTAGGATGTACTTAAAAATACAACACGGTGAAAGTGTGTGCTGTGCCATCCACTAATCCCTGGTCATTAGACTTCTGCCTGCATTAGTACTTCCTGCCAGAAATGTCTGAAGTTCCCAATTTAAGTATTTTTAAAGCATGTCCTAATCAAAACCCATGCACAGATTTCTATTTAGGTAGGAAGTACATTACACCAGGTATCCTAGCTTTAAATAGATGATTCCAGCAAGGGATTCATGGAATTTCTAACCAACAAAAGACCTGAGAAATCGTAAGTCAGCTGCAGAATCAGTCATCTTTATGAAGTTAGATGTGAAGAGTTTCTTTTGAATTACTGCCAAAATCCAACAATTGCATCCATTTCACTGAAGTCTGGAGTTGGAATTCAGAAGGTGTAATGAATTTTCTAGTTTGGGGGTTGATTTTTAGCATTCATGCTCTTAAAAGGTCAAATTTAACCACTTTACAGGTAACTTAGACATAGGTTTGCTATAAAATAACAACTTGAGTCAACTTGAAGCTACACTGGAAGAGATTAAGCCTGGATTTCTGCAGAAATTGGCAATAATGTGTTCAGCAGCAGCTTTTAGCCACGTATCAAGAAGTCCGACAGGATCTGGATTTCTCTACTCCCGTTGTAAACTTCTAGTTAAAAACAACACACAAAAGTTACTCAAATAAAAATGTCTTTTTGCACATCACTGTAGCATAAGCTGCTTGAGGTTATCATGAAGGATGGTATCCTTGACATCACGAAAAACTAGTCGGATGTTTTCTGTGTTAATAGCAGTGGTGAAGTGGTGGTAGAGGGGCTTCTGCTGCTGGTCCCGGCGTTTGGTACGAAAACAATCCACTAGGAATTTTTGGACATCTGTTAAGCAGTGGGGATCCCCTTCGAACTCTGGAAAATAGTCTTTGATGCTCACTTTTTGTACTTTTTCCTCGAGCAAGTCCGTCTTATTTAAGAAGAGAATGATGGAGACATTGCTGAAGACCCGGTTATTGACTATGGTTTCAAAAATGTTCAGGGACTCCGTGAGGCGGTTTGTCTGCCGATCCTCCATGAGCACTTGGTCAAACTCACTCGAGGAAACGAGGAAGAGGATCGATGTGACACTGTCGAAACACTCAAACCAACGCTTCCGTTCTGACCGCTGGCCACCTACATCAACCATTTTGAAAGGAACATTTTTTATTTCAAAATCGTACTCGTGAATCCCTTTTGTGGGTTTTCGTGCCAGCAGAATGTCTTGCTGTGATGGGAGATAATCCTAAAATAAATAAATAAATACAAATAAATAAAGCAGAGTTTTCCAATTAGGATACAAGTCACAGGCATGGTGATTACAGCTGACTCAATCTAGAGAAAAGCTTGCAGAGGAGCAGTGTGAGATTTGAAATACATATACACATGCATGCATATTTATATCTTAACACTGAAGCATTTTGGAAAATCTACAGTCCAAAGCAGAGGAAACGGGATTAAATCAAAAGAGAGAGTTTCAGCTTTCCATTTGCCATACGACGAGTATCCATAAGCAGCACCAAAAGGTGGACCACAACTGAAGGGTATACCATGAATTCCTTAATGCAGTTTCCCTCATTCTGAATTACTATATGCTTCATTATTCTCTTCCTACAAAGCTGGAAAACACACTAGTTTGGCAACATGGGAATGCAATGCAGTAAAGGAAGTCTAAAACAGCCAGGTTCCTCAAATAAACAACCAGTGTCATACCCTGTTCTAAATATGAGCACTCGATTCCTCCCACATTCACATGAGGATTGTGTAAGCAACTCAAAAAAGGGCAGTGACATCAGTTCTGCTGAGCAAGGCGTTTTAAGACCGCCAATTAATCATGCCAGAAGTGTCAAACCTGAGCACCCTGCCGCACTGCGCCGTGGGCAGCTTCCTTGCTTTGGAAGATCTGCACCTGCCCAAGAAGCTGCTTCCACCTAGCGGGGTGACACCTGCGAGCTCCCCCAGCCCGAGCGTGCCCACAACACACCGTGTTGTCAGCAGATCAGAGGAAGCAGCAGGAGGCTCAGGACATCGCAGCCTTTTGCCCGTAGTGCTGTCTAGGAGGGGCCCGAGACAGCTGCTCCTGCATTTGTGCAGAACGCCTTTTCCTTCATAACCAAACATGCAATGGAAGTTTCTGTAGTCCTCACATTAAAGCCATCTTCGCTGAATGCTGATGCTCACAGGAAGAGGTCCCCTCGTTAGTTTTTGCTGGCATGCAATTCAAGACTCAAATCGGGGATTTCTTCATTCTAAAAATTACACCTCCTCATATGGTCTAAGATCTTCTGCTTTTGAAAAAGTGCGTCTATAACAGACAGCTTAAGCTGAGATTTACAGCTTTGTTTTTTACCTGTTATGAAAGTCTTCCTTACATTTTTCCAGCATTTCTTACAACATCAGAGAGGGTGGTTTAAGTTTCAGAGTTGGAATTTAAGTCTCTTCTCAGTGAATAATCTACTCCTGAAGATCTTCCTTTGACAATGTCAGTCAAAAATGCAATTTTGAAAAACAATTAAATCATGAGTTATGTATAATGACCCAAATATCCAAGGACCCTTTTGCTTTATTATGGAAATTTGAAAGAGAAACTAAAGGAGGGCTGTTTTGTCTCAACTTCTGGTCTCTTCATTCAAGCTGTTCCAGATTAGGGCACTGATCTTTATCAGGGCTGCAATTATAACACAGCTCTCAAGCACAGACTCTCCACCCACACTTCTTGCTACCACCCAAATCTACAGGATAGCTGGACCTCTGAAGCAATATTCAACCTCCTTCAAAACCTAATGCAATTCTAAAAATTAATAAGACCTTATTTATCACATTTAACTTGTGTTCCTCTTAAAAAAAAGAATTGTTAGAAAAGGAGGACAATCAAAGTTAAGAGAAATGTGCCTATCAAGTGGCACTAAATATGTGTCAAGGGATTTGGGAAAAGGAAACCAACAACATGCACCTGAGGGGAGTTTGAATTAAGAGGTAAAGCTATATACACTTTCTGCATTCAAATGAGCACAAAGCAAATCACTTTGCTGCATAAATGGTCAGGGTGAGCTCCTAAGGCAGAATTCCTAGCTTAGAATTCCTGACCAACTCACTCCCAAGTATTATCACTCATTTAGATGTTTTCCATGCTTTCCACACACACTTTTTATCCCGGATGAGGGCTACCCTGATGCAGCAGCCGCAGTGAGCGAGCTGGAAGTGAGTGCTTGGTGCGCAGCCACCACTCAACCAGAGGAGGCTAAATGCATTCCTGAAAAGAGCATTAAAATACTGGGGGATTTCTTGAAGGATCATTTCATTCTTATCTCCCTCATGCATAGACTGCTCGGAAACCAACAGCTTGCTTCTATAGCCATTCTGAATTATGCCCTTTTTCCATTTTTACTGTTAATAGAATTTTCCGTAAGTGAAGCCTTCTGCATCAGGCTAATGTTTCCTAAGGCCAGCACCTGGTATTATTTTCAAAGTCTTTTTACCACCTGCCTGCTGTGTCTCTGCAATTTTCCTCCCAAACCCCCTCTCTCCAACTCTTTACCCACTGGCAGCAGAAGTAACAAACTACTACAAGGAATAAAGCAAATTCTCGTGTGCCGGGGGCTGCTCTTACTCTGCTGAGCTGACCAAATCTGACCAGCAGCTCCTCTTCCCCAAGCACTGCTGCACCGAGCTCCCTTTTGGCAAGGCACATGAATCTGAGGTCCATCTGCTTATGAGCAACCCAGCTGCAGGCCAGCCCGCTTGCACCACAGATCAGATAAGAACAGTAAAATACTTATATTAGCATATTAGACAAGTCTTACAAATAGATAAGAATAAACCAGAAGAACTTATCAAATCTTTCAGTAACAAAACTTACCTAGCACTTTTTTCCCCCGCATCAAATACTTAATGTTTTCTATGACAGCACATCTTAGGAAACCTCTGCATCTCAGAAGCCTTTGCTCTAACTTCAAACCGGAAATGCTGTAACTCGCAACCCGTCACTTCAAACCGGAAATGCTCTAACGCACCACTCGGCTTTCCAACAGAGCAGACCTCTAATTCATGCATGATTTTTGAGCAAACTAATGACTGTCTGGTCTCAGGCATTAAGAATAGGTCAGGATCTTTCAAATAAAGTCTGCAAAAGTCTGCACCTGTAACAGCTTCTTAAAAAAAAAAAGATTTCTAAATTTGTTAAAATGAGCAGGAAGATAAGCGCTATTTTAACAATCTAATTGCATAAGCATTTGCAACTTGCTTTTTCATTTCCACAGAAGTTGCATTTGCAGACAGCCTCTTGGCCTTTGCTTTGCCTTGTGTTTGTCACAGCAGTGACAAAGCACTGAGATAATGAGACAAGCAAAGTCACTGAGGATAAACCCAGCAGAAGAGCCACTACTTACACTTCATCCTTTTAAAACCCAGTGATCACAAAGGCTATCTTAAATTTGTAGCTAAAAAAAAAACAAACAACAACAAAAAAAACTTACTTGCTCTCCAAGTTTATCCAAGTTGTCCAAGAAGTATTTTACAGATTCCCCCTAAAAAAACAAAGCAAACAGTTTTTAAATAAGTGACACAGTTGATCTCAATAGATTTAGGCAAATTATGTAATGTAAACTATGTGTGTGTGTGTGTGTATATATATATATATATATATATATATATATAAAATGTAAACTATATATAACAGTTGCTAGTTTTAATCACAATCTTTTTTTTTCCCCCTTCCTTTTTTTTTTTAAGCCAGTAATCCCAAGAACATAACTAAATTCTTATTTTTAGATTGGTTAATATTCAAGCTTTAAAGGCAGAGGCTGTCACATTTATAATAGCTAAATTCTTCTCAAGTTTAGAACGCTAGGTAAATGCTACGGTGCTATTTACACTGACTGCCCATGAAGCACCCACAGAGTCAGATGTCTTCATTATGAAAAGATCCTTCCAGAATTGGAAGAATTGAGTCCAGTTATACAAACGTTTACATACAGAGCACCGATATATACAGCAGTGCCATATGATCCCAGGCACTGCACCTGAGCACAGCAAATGTTTGGCAGAAGAGAAAACTGCAACAGATGAAGCTAGAGTTCGAATAGACCTTCCCAACAAAGAGCATCTAGATGTTAATCTGCTATTTTGGGCTATAAACTGCAACATTGCATATCGCCTACTATACATTATACTGCCAAATTCCAGACATCACTATCCCACAAGTAGTAAATGCAGCTCTTAACCCCAATAACACAGAACTAACGTAAACCTGAACTACAAACAACCCTATTAGCGCACTGAGAATAAGAGGAAGAAAGGATTTGTCCATTTGCACTGCTGAAAACAATGACAATAATTTAACCCAATTTACAAAAATTTAAGATTTTTGGCACCATCTTTCCAAGAGCTTCCTGGCCCAGGGCCAGATATGCGAGAGGCCGCCTGGCCGCTCTGGCCTGATGGCATTTGCAGGCTGCAGAACCAGGGACAGGGCAGTGGCTTACGGGGCATACAAGAGCCAGTGTCACGGACTGCATTTATCGCAAATGGGGAAGGACCTTTTGGGAATCTCAGCACCGTGATAGAAGCAGGAGCTTCCCTTTAAAAGCTCTGAATTACCAAGCTGTATCTGACTTTCTGAATAGGAAATACACAAAGGAAATCTGTAATCCCACTTAGCAGATGGGAGAATAGAAATTCTGACAAAATTGTCTTGATGCAGAATCCTTAAGCATCAAAATAGGGGCAACTGCTGGAGCAGTGAGGCAGGACAGCAACTGGCTCCTGACGAGGACTTTCCTCTCTGCCGTCTGAACTTCCAGAGTTATGTGGGAGGACTATGAAACCTCAGTATTAACCCGTGGCACCTAAGCAGCAGTAGGACAATAACGTGAAGCAACAGCCCAAAAGGGGCTCTGGCAGATACATAACCTAGGCACTTTTGCAAGTTTGCAGGCACTAAGAGTCACAGAACGAAGGGAGACAAAAGCCTTTGGGCCAGCAATTTGAACATCAACCTTTAATTAGGCAGGGCCAGACTTTCGTTGAAACTTGCCTTGTGCCCGACACACCTGCAGGGACAGAGTCCAACACAGATCTCCCACCTCCTTTTGCCTCCTGTTCATCTTAGCACTGCCCTTCTCTCTGGGGACAAACTGCAGCAGGACAACTAACCATTTAAAGCTGGCTAGGAGCAAAGCAGCGACTCTTCATTATGGATTTTATGGCTACACTTTTTCACTACTTCAGAAGTCCATTCTGATAAGCAAAGTGTAGGGGAGACAGTATTCCCATTACACAGAAAATAAAAATAAGATGTACACACAAAGCCTTGTGCATAAATCTATCAGGAGCACTTTTGTTTCATGCTTCCCAAACAGGAGAAATTCAGGAGGCCTGAATTCTGAGCCTAAAACCATCATCTTTAGCTGAATGTTAACAACAAAATAATATTTAAGGTCAGGCTTAATTTCTTTTTCAGAGTCTAGAAGGAGCTGACAAAAACCACAGTACTATGCACAAATCAGCCAGGCTCCAGACTCACTATCTGCAGGTATTTATTCTAAACCACCCACATCTCAGACCCTATAGGTATCCATGTATGTATATATGGATTTTAATCTTAGCTCTTTTTATACTACTTACAAAGCATCCACTTTGTAAAGCAGGATTGACCTTGTAGTGCAGCAATGCACACGTTGCTGCCTCTCCTTTCAATCCTGGGAGCTTTTGCACCTGCAAGGGATCGAGCTGCCCTAGCACACAAGAAAACGACAGCCTGCAAAGGCCACAGAAAAACTTCCCAAAAGAGGGGATTTCCTGAAAACACAAATGCAAAAATGCATCCCATCAGCCAGCAGCAACGCTCTAGACCCACACAGATCTAGCAGTCGAAAAGCACACGGAAAAGACTGCTCAAAGTTTCAGGCCGCCGTAGATGAAGTTTCGTGGCAGATAAGCATCGCAGTGGGTGCTTGGAAACTGCAATGGGGGAGGTATCAGCGCATTCACTTACAGGCACTCTGCCGTTCATGGCAGTGCCATGCCCCTTCTCCTCCTCCACAAACCCGATTTATTCACCGGGTGATTCCCTTACCAAAATCCCTTCAGACAACTGCTATGACACACCAAGGAAGTGCTTGTCAACATGACTCAACTTAATATTATCTTTAAAAATAGTTATTCAAATGCTGACTTAAATTTTTTGTTCACTGGGAGTTTACAAGACTCATCATCTCTTTTTACTTCCTATTCCAGACATCCCTCTGCATTGCACAGCTACAAACCAATGCTTTAACCAGAGGTAATTTTCCATCCCACCTGGACTTTTCAGAACAAGGGGCTAAGCGCTGCTAACTACAGGCACACTCTTGAATTGTAACCTGCCCCGACCAGTAGATCCTTATCAGAACATGCTGCTGCAAAAAGCACGTTTGACCCATTTTAAATAAGCTTCAAAAAGGCTTCAAAAACAATCAAGCAAGACTTCTGATTCTTTTAAAATGTTTAAGTCTTTGGAAAACCATTCTCAGTATCCTATAATACCAATAGAGAGAAAACCAAACACAAACTACCTCAATACTACCAAGGAAAACCTCAATTTCAGTGGTTGCTAAAGCTTAGTAAGAAAATGATCCATGTGCAGTCCCGTGCACCTAAAACCTGCTGAGGCAAAAAAAAAAGACTAAAGACAGAACTGTTTCTATGTCAGCCTGCTTTTCCTTACATTAAATATAGCACTAGATCTCACATCCTACAAGTTGAAGACAGTGGCTATTCAAGCTGTTGCCTGTAAGTTTCCCTTTTGACTAACTGCAAGTTATTTGGTTTACCCAAGACGACCAGAGAAATGAACCTGGGTTTCCCCCCTTGCCGGCTGCGTCTCCCTCGTGCCGCATTGTCACAGCGGCCGGGCCGCACGGGCCACCCCGCCGCACCGCAGAGCCGCCCCACGGCTCGCTGGCAATGCGATTCCTGTCCAGGGGCCAGACTCACGTTCTGCGAGCACATGTCATAGAAATGCATACATATAGTGTATGTAGAAATACATACATATAGTGATAAACTGAACTTAAAATGCCTCTTCTACCGATGGACAGGGGGCCTTGGACAAGTCACAGTCCAGATCTACAATTTTATTTTTTATGGTTTAAAAAAGTTACAAGGCTTCTATCAAATTCAGGAGCAGGGAAAAACATAAGTACCACTTACTACATAAGTAAATTACAAATAGAATTGCAAGAATCAGCTATTCTCAGGCAGGTACCCAAAACTCATCCAAGCTAAATATAAAAAGAGATAAGACTATCGTTCCATACAGCTGCTAACACATTCATAAAAGATCACATATTATATAACACAGCATGCTTCTAGTCAGGTGATATGGATGCTTTAACCCAGTTACGGGTTAATGCTTTTGGTGGGTGTGCTTTTTTTTTTTTAAATAATTAATGCAGGTGAACTTCAAAATCATTTTTACAGTCGAGCAGCTCTGAACTTCCAACCTCTGAATGTGGTTTAAGGTTAATAACAATTTGCTTGCTACACCACAGAGACCGTGGAGCTCGTCCACTTCCCATTTCCTTATACCAAAATTAAGGCAGGTGCCCGAAGATGCTAATATCAATGGTAAAGTAAAACCTACGTCTAAATGCATTTCTGGTATGCACATTGACCTGCAGAAACTTGAAGCAATGCTCACTACAATACAGCTGTTTTCTTGAATACAAAGCAATGCAGTAAAATGAATGACTTGCACACTAGCTTCAAAGACCTTACAGTGTGAGAATACGGTGCTTTTGCACCTTTAATATAGAAGTAAAATAAACCATTGTTATCTTGAACTTTAAGCAATCGCTTTTCTTGCGGAAGATGCACTTTTTTGTTTAAATGGAACATGTATCTCAGCTGCAGCCCTTTAGCCTCCTCCCTATTCAGAAATGCATGTAAACCACAGGAAGTTGACTGTTAAATAACTTTATTCATAACTGTCAAGTATCCCATTTTCAGAAAGATTTGATTCTGAACAGCTTGTGCGACTCCTGCAGTCTCAGGATCCCAAATGAAGAAAGCTAGGCCAAGTTATTTGGTCAGGAACATCCAATTAATTTACAAGTTTCAAGAAAACTCCTCTAAATCATATTCTTACCAAATTACTTAGACACTGCAACAACAGCTACCCCTGCAATACTGCATTTATCTTTACTTGTCTAGCTCATGCCTGCACAATAAAATATCTTCAAGTTTTAGGTAAGGGACTCTTCACAAATACAAAATGAGTCATTTACCTACAAGGCAGCGGTGCAGTACAGCTGGGCCTGTGTGGTCTTCTGAAGCCCAAGAGTTTTTTTTTTTTTTTTTTTTTTTTTTTTTTTTTTTTTTAAACACAGGAAAATTACAGTCTAAAATGCTGCTTGCTAGTGCCTAAAGCAAAATAACCACAAAAATACTTTGGAGAAAAAAACGCTAGATGAATTACACAACAGATGAACATCTCTTTCAAACCCAGGAAGTGGCACCAATTTATTTGGTTTCCATGAAAGCTCTG